ACTCCTCGAACGTAGACGACGAACGTGGCCTGTCCACAAACACATCCGAGCTCAGCCCGAGTTGCATCGGGATCTCTCCGCATTCTTCGTGGAAAACTCCGAGGTCGTTGGCGATCGCGGAAGGGGAAGGAGAGGAGGAGGTCTTATCAAAGAAAGCACGCAAGCGCACAGCTTGCTCAGGGCTCAGCTTCCAAGCACTGCCCCCCTTCATCTCGTGCCTCTTGGAGGGGGCTTCTGAACTCGTCACTGAAAACTTCCCATGGCGCCCCTTGTCGAATTCGTCCACCTGGCAGTTTCATGTCAAATCACCCAAACACTCGAAATTGCTCCACCTTGCTCGCCCTGCTGTTGGGAGCTTTGGTAACATTCGCATCTTGATCTGGAATAATCGATTGGACCGATGATCCACAGCCCATCGTCTCTCCCCGCCTCCCAGCGCAGTGCCTGTCAAAGAGCAACTCTTGAATGCAGTTTCGTTGCAAACACCCAACAATGACCACAGAAACGAGCGCGAGAAGCAAAACAAACAAAGGTAGAAGGCGGTTCAAACTCTAAAAGGCGGATCAAAATCATGCCTTCTCATACCCTTCAACTTCCCTAAAGCCTGATCCAACTCAACTCCTTCTGGTATGCAAATCATGACAACTCCCTGGCAACAACCCAGAAAGTTGCTCGCTCCGTTACAGTCATTGACCTACAACTTAAACTTTTCTTGTCCCGACCAACCACCAACATGATATCTCATCCTCTCCGTTCCTCTGCTCTCCTCGCACTTTCCCTCCCTCCTTCCCCCCTCCACTCCCTGCCTGCTCCCTCCCCTGCTTCCGCCCATTCCCCGACAAACTGCCAATCCAAAACGATGACTGTGTGTCTGCATGCGTCATGCGTTGCAACGTATGTCGGGGTAAATGGCTATTAAATAGAGGGGTACTTTGAATGAAATTAGGAAAATATGCAATGGCAGCACCGAGCCATCTGGGAAATAACTATACACCCCTATCAAATCACCTCTACCCCTAGTAAAGCAGTAATTGGAAGGGGTGAATGACATGTACAACACATAGAGGATAGGGGGTGGGGTACAGGCGGGCGAGGGGTGGTGCATAGCCCCATAGCGCCATAACGGGAGCCTGACGATGCTGAGCAATTTTCTACCCAACGGCGCCACTGA